ATACCATCACCGTACCACCACTAAATGGAGTGGGTGTCATCGGGGAACAAGATGGCCCTGGGAGGAAGGATGGACTGCTGTGCCACCTGGAGCCTACCATGTCACTCTGGGACCACTTTGTCACGTGTGACCCCATCTGTTATTTGTGACCTCTAGAGCACTTGTATTGTTATAGGAATGATTGTTTTATTGCTTGTTTTATCCTGTTTTTACCTGTTGAATTTTGGCATACGTGCCTCATTTGTTAGCCGCCCTGAGCTCATCCGGGGAGGGTGGGGTATAAATTTAATAATAAATAAAATTTTAAAAATAGGGCAGCCTCCAGAACACCCTGCTTGGCAACCACTGGGTTTTCGTGTTTTTTACCTAGCTCATTCACTTTCCAGCCCCCCTCTGTCCCCCTCTCTGCCTCCCCCTCCACCAGGTCATCCCCTTTACTTTCTGCAGGGGGGTGTCACAGGTGCCATTTCCTCCCTGCAGTGCAGTACCCTGCCAACACCCCAGGAGGCCTCCCCCCTCACGCTCTCCCTCCCGTGCCCCCGCGGTTGCCATGGTGAGGTCTGATGCAGACAGCTAGCTTTTATGCTGAGCCAAAATGGGAGGCAAAGGGGGAACCATATACAATGGCGCCACAGCAGACTGAGACTGCATTAACATCTCACTGTGTTATCTGGATTTGGCTTTAAGATGGTCCAATTGCCTCTCCCTGCCCTCAAGACGCTGTGAGCAATAAGCAGACAACTGGAGCCGAATTCTCCCCCCCAGTCGTAAAAGCAGCCAGGGAACATTTTTCTGCAATCATATTTTTTTGTTGGTGGGTTAGAAGCACGCCCCACCCTGAACCATGGTGCAGTCCCCAGAACGCCCTGCCTGGCAACCGCTGGGTGTTTCGTGTTGTTTACCCAGCTCATTCATGTTCCAGCCCCTCTCTGCCCCCCTCTGCCAGGTCATCCCCTTTTACTTTCTTAGGGGGGTTGCAGGTGCCATTTCCTCCCCACAGCACAGTGCCCTTGCTGGTGCCCTGGGAGGCCTCCCCCCTCTTTTGCGCATTCTCCCTCCCACACCCCTGCAGTTGCCATGGTGAGGTCTGATGCAGACAGCTAGCTTTTATGCTGAGCCAAAATGGGAGGCAAAGGGGGAACCATATACAATGGCGCCACAGCAGACTGAGACTGCATTACACAGCGGATGCAGATCCAGCCCACCAAGGAAGTCTAGGGTTGCTCTGCAGAGGGAGGCAATGGCATCATCATCATCATCATCACCACATGGAGACTGGCAACCCTATGAGCGCAATCCTATGAACAATTACTTCGGTCTAAGTCCACGGATATCAGTGGATGGATAGGACTGCACTGTTAGTATTGCTCAATTATTTTGGAAGGGAAGGGCACAGTAAAAGGAAACACATCTTTTCCCTTTGGTAGGTAAACAGAACTGAAGAGTTTATTGTGCAGAAAGAATAATGTGCAGCTTTACACATCTAGCAGGGATCAGAGTGGTCAGGTCCCCCCGGGCCACCGGTAGGGGTAGGGTCACCAGATCCATACTGAGAAAGTCCTGGAGATTTGGGAATGGAGCCCGGGGAAGACAGGGATCTCAGTGGGGTACAATGTCATAGAGCTCCCCCTCCAAGGCATTCATTTGCTCCAGGGGAACCAATCTCTGAAGTCTGGAGAGGAGCTGTAATTCCAGGGGTTCCCCAGGTCCCGCCTAGAATCTGGCCCTGCCGTTGCCAGCAATGCAGTAAAGGAGCCTCACACTTACCGCTGTCACAAACTTCAGTTCCCTCCCTGCACCTGTGGCTCTTTGAAGAAGCAGAACAAAGCAGAAGCTGAGAAAGGAGAATCCAAAGCCACTGAGGCTGTGTCCCAGACACGACACTGACACGATCATCCTGATGGCAGGACAAAAATACTTTTAGGGGAAAGCGGCCCCATAGGAGCAACTTTATAAAGAACAGACAAAGGGGTGGAGACTCCATGCTGATCCCATCTGCCCAGCCTCTTTCTGGTCATGCTCCATATGATGGAGTGTTGGGAACTAGATATCGCTCAGGCAACCCATGTGACATTTCAGCATACATTTGCCCAAGTCTCATAACATGTCCTGTTGACATGCTGGGACTACTGCTAGGCTTGCCATTCCCTAGGTAGGAGTCTCCCGATTTTGGGGGCTCCTGCCTGCTGCCGGCTAGCTGGCTGGTGGGGGAAGCCCAGCCCCAAACAGGGCCCACCCCTCCCTCCCCTCCTGTGTGATTTAAAGGGCCCTCCTGCAGACTGACAGAAGCACATGCCCCCCCAATCAGCGGGAGGGCCCTGTTGGCCAGTTAAGTGCCCTCCTTAGCTCTTGTTAATGGATTAATGGGATGTAACCAACCACTTGTACCCACTGTAGCTAGGCTTTGGATCAGAACCCCATAACGCAGCTGGGACGCAGTGTGATGATCCCTCAGAAAGGCACTGCATTTTTATTTCTTAATGTGGTCTCTCCCGGGGTTGAAATAAAGTCTGTAGCAACTTATTCCTGGGAGGCAAGGGGATTGTCCGTGCTCTGAGGATTTTCCTCCATTTCAAAGGAAGGAAGGACATGAGATGGCAATTTGCCTGGGAACATACCCATCTACCTACCTCCACCTCTTTCCAAATGGATAACAGTGTCTCAGTTAATTGATTTCCTTAGAGTTCAAATACACCAAAGGATCTGCCAGATATTTGATGGTGACATGCAAATCGGTCAGTCTCTCAGGTTGATATCTTTATGCCTCTGTTTTCTCCCCCAGAACCTAGTCCCATCAAAAGGCTACAATATAACTCTGTTTGTTATTCTTTTAGAACTATAAACCTTATCAAAGAAACATCACTTCAGTGCCTCCTTCCTTGGGACAGCCTGTTATCGGCGTGAACAGCCAACAAGGTTTAAAACTTTTGGCTCCAACCCAATCCTGTTTGAGAAACATATTATTTCCCCCTCTATGTACACAATATTTGGGTATAAGCCTCTGGGACTCCCAGTTGTTGTTGTTCAGTCGCACAGTCGAGTCCGACTCTTCGCGACCCCATGGACCAGCTCCCGCCAGCTCCCAGTACAGCTGGTGAAATATCCCAGCAGTAGCGGCAACGAAGCCGCAACAAGCCTTTTCATCAAGTACTGCCTCTGCGACCCAGCACAGGTAGCTTGGAGATTGTGAGCTGATTTCCATCCCACTCCTACCACCTCTTCTGTCTATTTTCATCAATCCTTTGTCTTCTGGACAAGCGTGTATGTTTACCCCCCCCCATATTATTAGACTTGGGTTGGAAAACAGCAGAAGTTAGGATTGATAGACTACTGTGGTATGTGTGTATGAATGTGCACTTTTTGTACTTTGCATCCTTCTGTCTAATTCCCTGTGCTATTAGTTTTTTTAATTAAGGTTCAAGTTCCAACCCATACCTGTTTATTCCTGGGGACCTCCCCACTCTTATAAGAATTGCTACCCAGATCCCAGAACTTGATATACACCTGGCAGTAAACCCCATTAAGAATTCCTCAGGATACACCTGTATGAGGGCATGAGACACAAAAGGGGGACTCCCCTATAGGTTGAGGGACATACATTTGTAAGCCATTTGGGTAACACCACCAATGGATACATAACCAAAATGGCAGCATCTCTATACAACCACAGGTTGTGTTGGGGTCTCTACTATTACGCATTACTTTTTTATTTTGAAACAGCACAAAAGAAGTTAAGCTAACAAGCTTCAAAGAACTACTGGTTCCACCTTGTTTATGCCTAAAAAGTACTGACAGTCACATGAATCGACTGTAAATCAGTGCAGGAAAACATAGCCCATGGGAAGGGGCTGTGACTCAGAGGCAGAGTATCCAGTCTGCATGCAGAAGGTTCCAGGTTCGATCCGTGATGTTTCAGGTTGAAAGGATCAGGTAACAGGTGATGTGAAATACCACTACCTGAGATCTGGCCAGCTGGAATAGACAACACTGACCTTGATAGCCCAATATTCAATATAAGGAAGCTTCATGTGCTTAAAAATATGATCAAATTTATTTTTGAAAATCAGGAAACATAGAACAGTTGCAATAAGTATTTAAACTTTGCTTCTTCTAGAAAAATCACAATGTTTAGTTACACTGCCTGCCACTGTATTCAGAAAAGCAGGAAAAACACTTCTATAATCCAAGTTCTTGTCTAACGATTATCAGTGAGCAAGCATCAAGAAAACATCAAAAGTACTAGTCTAGTAATGTACAAGACTAGTAGTACTTTTGAACTGGTTCATAGTAGTGCTGAATCAAATTTAGTATACCCTGATAAAAGGAGTCATTTAGTAGCAATTTTCTATGCAATTCTAGCTGAAGCAGAATTAAAAGTAACTGTATACAAGGAAAGATGGGAAAGGGACTTGTTAATGGAGATATCTGAAAGTCAATGGACTAGTCTTCACAAAGGTATTAAAAATTCCAGTGAATGTTGCTGTAAGTGCGAACAACCTTAAATAGGTATTGGTGGTACCTGACACTGGAAAGATTAATGAAAATATCACTTTCTGCATTAGATCAATGCTGGAAGTGTAAAGAGGATGAGGGGTCTTTCATGCGTATCTGGTGGCAATGCCCAATCATAGAGCACTTTTGGAATAAGGTACTCAAAAGAACATCTATGCTTCTCAGTTTTGTCAATGAAGTGACAGATGAATTCAGTAATTTTCCAAAAGAAGCTTCATTTACACTAGTTTGGTGTAGTGGTTAAGTGTGCGGACTGTAATCTGGGAGAACAGGGTTTGATTCTCCACTCCACTTGCAGCTGCTGGATGATCTTGGGCAAGCCATAGTTCTGACAAGAGCTGTCCTTGAAAGAGCAGTTCTTGAAAGAGCTCTCTCAGCCCCACCTACCTCACAGGGTATTTGTTGTGGGGAGGAGAAGGGAAAGGAGTTTGTAAGCCACTTTGAGACTCCAAGTGAAGGGTGGGGTATAAATCCAATCTCTTCTTCTTAAAGATCTATTTTATCTGTTCTAAATTTCCCTGGGTTTCAAAAATAAGTTCAATATCATCTTGCACTGTGACATAAAGTTGGAGTGAATAACCTTTTTCAGCCTTCCAGCTCTATGAGTTTGAACGATGGTTTTACATTAAGATAGCTCAAATAAATATATAGCTATGGGTACTCTTTGATACACAATTCTGACTCTTTAAAAGATACATTGTTGTTGTTGTTCAGTCGCACAGTCGAGTCCAACTCTTTGCAACCCCATGGACCAAATTACGCCAGGCCCCTTGTCGTGGCGAGGGGGCTTGCATGGTTCGATGAGGCTGTGGGCTATGCCGTGGAGGGCCACCCAAGACGGACAGGCCACAGCAGAGAACTCAGACCAAGCGTGATCTCCTGGAGAAGGAACTCCAGTATTTTTATGGGTACTCTTTGATGGACAGTATCAGAAGGCTAAAAGATACATGCATGGTGTTTATGAGAATCCACGCCTTATGCCTACAGTTTCTTAGCGGTATTGCACAGAATAACAGCTATCCAGTAGTCTTTCAGGTGAAGTCAGAGATTCTACCAGTGTAATACTTCATATCCACAGATATCCCTCACAGCTTTTCTCTTATTGAAGTTTGTGCTTCTGCTTTTTCTGAGCATGTGCTGGTCAACAATTGCCATGGCTCATTTGGTTTGATTTTTATCTGTATGCGAGAAGACTGCTGAAGAGGTGAAAGAGTCCTGGCTTCAGCTATATGCTGTTCCTTTTTCTTTCGAAAAAGTGTATGCGTTGTGAATTAGCTATTACTAACAGTAGTGCAGTCAGAGATGGAGGGATCGATAATATCAATATACAGATCCTTATTTATTTGAAAAGTTGGGACAGATTCCCACGGACATTTGAAATATCTGCATGAGAATTAGTGGGCAAGACATCTTTGTTCCAAAGCATAGTCAACCAGCGAGGACATCAGTGCAGCACAATACCACGAACACAAGAAGCTGCCTTCTTCTGACTCAGACCATTGTTTCATCAAGGTCAGTATTGTCTACTTGGATTGGCAGCAGCTCTCCAGGGTCTCAAACAGATTATCTTGATAGATTATTTGTGCTGCTTTCTAAAAAGAAAAGATTAGACAGGGGTCAGTACATAATACTGCAACAGTAGGCACAGCTAGTGCACCATTAGTTTCACTAACCCTTATCAGAACATTGAGCACAGTCATTTCATGGATTTCAAGCAGTTGCTGGACAGATTACAGATGGCTATGGACACTGATTGCAAAGCATATCGACATCAATTGAGGTCAGGATCATCCCTCTTAATGAACGTAGGGCTACTGATGGCCAAAGGACGCAATGTGTTTTTTTAATGAGTCAGGTCTGGGTTTCCTGGATCCAACTCACCTTCTCTGCAGCTGCACAACAGCTGTGGGATATGTCCTTTTAAAAGCCTGTGGGAGCCTGATTCCTTCTGGGGCTGTGATATAGGGGAAAAAAGGGTTCTCACTTCCCATCCCCACACTTTTTTCATAAGATAACTCCCCACTGGGACTATTTGGGCTTAAGAGAATGGTGTGGGGGGTGGGGGTGGGGTGGGGTGTCCCCTATACTGCAGTCCCAAACTAGACTCCCACAAGCTTGAAAAATCATGTTCCCTGTAGCTGTGATGGAGGTATCAATAATATCAATATACAGATCCTTATTTATTTGAAAAGTTGGGACAGATTCCCACGGACATTTGAAATATCTGCATGAGAATTAGTGGGCAAGACATCTTTGTTCCAAAGCATAGTCAACCAGCGAGGACAATTCAGTGCAGCACAATACCCTGAACACAAGAAGCTGCCTTCTTCTGACTGAGACCATTGGTTCATCAAGGTCAGTACTGTCTACTTGGATTGGCAGCA